GGCCTGGCATTGGTGGAGGAGAAGGAGAAGCTATTGAAATTCCTACCTAAGCTCCCTTCTCTCCAATCTGCTTAGCTGTTGTTGTACTTCTGTGCAATACCACGACTGAACCATTTACTACGAACCACGCCACCCTACGCGTCACGAAAAGCCGCAGAAACCCATGACAAGAATATATTGGATGTGTTCCGGCAACTGTTCGGTATTGTGGGGCCTGACGATTAGGACCCTGACCTCCACGACGTACATTATGATACGTGGGTCGCACAAGCGAAATTACCATTGCGTTTTGGAGGCCTCGGCCTCCGGGATTCGATATTGATGGCCCCTGCAGCATACTGGGCCAACTGGGCGGATTCCTTACGCAGTCTGGTTCAAGGATTTCCGACTATCGGGAGGGATATGCTGTTTCATTTCAGTACCCTGGACAATGTTGGTCCTTTGATCCCGGGAGCCCAACCTGATTGCCTACACGCGGCAGAAGAAGCAGGCCGATCTTGTGACAACAACGGCTGGACAGAACGACCATTGTGGACAGCCCTTGCGATCGATCACTCACCACCGGCCCCACCACCACTTCCTTTGTCCCTTGGGGAATGGACGCACGGCTGGCAATTTCACGCATCTTCTGGCCCACTTAAACAAGCATATCGTACACTACTCCGCACACTTGGGGGTGGGATTCATGCACGGGCGGACGCGGCCACAGCGGGTAAAACACGATTGCGGTCATGTATGGGCCCCTATGCGGCAATATGGTTAACTGTGTGTCCAACTACCGATGCGTGGCGTCACCTCTATTTCACCGCGCCTTGGTTTTCAAGCGTGTCTTGCACCTGAGGTTCGTGCCCGATGCTGTTGCCTTGAAAAAAAAAAGAGGCGCCATGAAATCTTGGGAAATATCATGGCCCCCGCCATGATATCCCCCCCTAGTCATCACCCCCGTCTCTTCCGCTCCCGAATGACTTGGGCGGTGGGCCGCATGCCCGGGCCAATGCGGCTACGGCGGTTAAAGCACCGTTGCGATCATGTGTGGGCCCCTATGCGCCAATTTGGTTAACAATTTGCTCCACCACGGATAATTTAATTATGGACATTGCGGCTACGTCCTATGGCGTGCGACGACGACTGGGAATCGGTGTGCTATTCGAGGGAGGAGACCCGCATGGACAATCCCGTATGACGGACAGCACGCGTGGTCGCCTCAACTCTCGGCATGCATGGATGGCCGCAACTTGGCGACAAATCTATACGAGGGTGGACGGCTCATACCCGACAAAAACATCGAACACATCGACGAAAAATGCGAAAACCCCCAAAAAACCCAAAAGGTTAACAAAAATAGTCCAAAAATAGTCCCCAGACTATTTTGGGACTATTTTTGGGTATCTTTGCTTTTCGTCGAAAATCCCCGTGGGGGACAGGCCCGACTTAAACGTGGCCCCGCACCTCGAGGGAACGCGAGACGGCTCGACCTCGTCGCCCCGGGGACGCGAGACGGCTCGATCTCGTCGCCCCTTGCACCGAGGGTGGCGGCGGCGGCGGTGCCGCCTCAGAGGGCCGGGGCCCCTCAGGCCGGCACCGGCAGCAATCGGAGTGGTGGGCTACTAGAAAAGTGCGGAGAAAGCAAGCACGCACACACTGGCCATCGCTCGGACGTCCATTCCCAGTGTTTTTTTTTTTTTTTTTTTTTTTTTTTTTTTTTTTTTTTTTTTTTTTTTTTTTTTTTTTTTTTTGTTTTTTTTCGATTTCGTGCATGGTTTTTTCGGCAAATGATCAAGGATGCTCTTCGATGGTCCTCGCCGAAGGAAAAATGCACACGTCCGAGCGATGCCAAGTGTGGGGAACTGGTGGATTCAGACATTGGGGGCTCTACTGTGCCTGAGGTCAGAAGTGCATGGACGATGGGGCAACCCATGCATTCAAATCGCGCCCGCCCTTGCTAGAGAAAGGTGCCGACTTCTCCCACCAAGGGTAAGACGCGGGACCGAATTGGGCTCATCATACCGCTGGTGGGTTTACTTGGTATTGCCTTTCAACGGTCAGCGGCCCGCATGGTCCTACACGACCCCAATGATAACCGACGACCTCCCCTGAGCTGACCCACGGCCTGGCTGATTTCGAGGTCCTCTGATACTCCTCCTCCTCCTTCTCTGACGCTGCTTAGGCCACCCTCACTGTAGGCGATGCTCGGCCTTCTGCACCGTGTTTCACCCTGCCCACACTGCCTGTCTTGTGGTGCGCTGCGAGGGACAAACACGGTGAACAATTTTTCGGGAACGCGTGCCCGCATTGCCCGCATTGCCCTAATGCCCGTGTTACCGAAACCGTGCTTTACACTGATTTGTAATGCGTTGCATTTGGCCCAAATGTGGGATGCTTCAATTTGAAAAGCGTGCGCGTTTCGTATGTTTACGATACACATGCATGCATACAACATCTATGTTTATGTATATGTATATGTATATGTATATATATATATAATGTAAACGCGTATACTTGCATAATGCGTAGCACTGTGTGATGCGTATGAATATATATATATATATATATATATATACGTATGAATATGTTACATCTCGCTGCATGTATGTATGTATGTATATATATATATATAATTATTGATTTTTATATATATATATATATATATATATATATATATATATATAATATATATATATATATATGTCTGTATGTTTATATACATATGTGACAAAATATAGATGTATCCGTTCGGACACATGCTGTGGAGATTCGCGCGGCGTGTAGCTTCCTCCCACGGCGCCAATAACGACAAAGTCTTCATTCTCCAATCTTTCCGGAGGTCCAAGCGACAACGAATCTTGCATCTGCTTCGGACGACACTGCAAAACGTTTACAAAACCAGAAAGCAATGACTGAAAGCGACCCGTAGAAGAAAACGTCTCTATGTGTGCGCTTGTTTGGGCTTCGTATCGCGTTTATTACTTTGCTTGTGCCCCGCGGCGTGCTTATTTGGTGTCGTTTGGTCGTAGTGCGTGGTGCGCCGCCCAAATGAATTTCTCTCGCAAGGTTGCGCGGGGGTGTTTATGTCAAGGGGCCGCCGTCTCATTTCCCCATTGTTTTCCACTTCAGTCTGAATTGGGCCAGTGGCCAAAATGAGCTAGACGAAGGCAGACCGCTAAAAGCATATATCGTCTTCTTTACCCCAGGGGGATGATGATGGGCGTTTGCGTGCCCTTGTTCTCTGTGGAGCGGCGGCCCTGGTGGGTGGGTCTGAGATGCCGCCCCATGCCGGAATTCATCCCCCTGTTGTGTACGCGGGCCTATTTCGTTACGCTTCTTGTCGTTTACATGGCGGGCCATGGCCAAGATCGGCGTCGACAGGATCCCGCGCCATCCTGGTCATGGTCATCATGCCTCCTCCCTCGATGGTCTCTCTGGCAGGTCAGTTGGCTCCCTCCGCTCCTCGGCACTCGCGGGCCACGCCGCAGCAGGCCCCTCCCCGACGCGTGAAGGAGGGAAAAAAAAAAACGCTGCGGGGGGTGTCCCGCGCCCGTGCCTACGGAGGCGCCGGGCTTGCTAGCCTCGTGGAAAAATCAATCTTGCTAGCGCTTGCGGGGGCGCCCGGTCAGTCGGACACCTTCAGAATTCCAGTCAACCAATATGTTCGACCACCGCCGGTCCCCACACTGAACGACTTTGTCACGCAATCTGTCTTTCCGGCCCCGTTGCTGCTCTACCCGGTCCGGGATGCCAAACTTCTGGAATTGGCATTCGGCCCTGCGAGTTGCACGTTGGATCCACTGTACCCAAGATTCGATTTCAACGCTGCCGTCCGCCAGCTCGTAGTACCTCCGCGGCGTATTCACCACCCAGCGCATCATTTTATGCTCTTCTACTCTCAGTCCGTGCTCTCTTTCAGCTGTCACAATCCAGCATCCACTGCCGTAAAGAACGGCTGGCGCCACGACGGCATTGAACAAACGCAACCTGTACTTCAATGGACAATGGTTGTTTGTGAGCTCTGTCTTGTGCATGCCGAAAGCGGCCCAGCCTCTCGAAATCCTATGCCCAATTTCCCGGTCGTGGGTGTCACTGAACGAAATCAATCTCCCAAGATACATAGTCGCGCCGTCATATGTCAATACCTCGACGTAGCCGTCGCCGACTCGAACGCGATCCTGGCGAAAGACGCCGCGGCGACACTCCACATTGGACATAATCTTAATCTTGCCCATGTGCAGTTTTAAGCCAACCGCTTCTCCACATCTGTGTAGATCCTCTGGCATGCGCCTCACATGCGCCCTCGTGGTCCCAAGTAACAGCACGTCGTCTGCAAATCGAAGATTGGTCAAGAACTCTTGATTTATGCGTGCGCAGATCCGTTTTTTTCGCCACTCTGCTTTCAACCGCCACATAATATGCTCCAGAACTGCATTGAACAATGCCGGGCTGAAAGGGTCTCCCTGTGGAGTTCCACGTTCCAACTTGTATGTGCGGCTAGTGCAATCGGCTACCACCTGTGCTGTTTGCCCGGTGTACAGTCGGACAAGTACTTTGATATATTGCTCTGGCACGTGTTGCGCGCGCAGCGCCTCCCATATGGCATCGTGGGATACATAATCAAATGCCTTTTCAAAATCAACTGCTGCTATCCATAATGGCATTCGGTACTCACGCATCTTCTCTTGCAGCAGCGCGAAAGTGAGAAGATGGTCGTCGCAACTGAACGTTTTTCGAAAACCAGCTTGATCAACAGACTGCTCCGGCTCCAAATAAGTACACATGCGGTCGTTAATTATCAGACTGAACAATTTGTACAAGATCGGTTACACTCCCCGACGCGTGTGCCGACAGAAGGCGCTCAATCTCGAACCAACCTCGCCTTTTCCTTCGCCTCCCTCGTCCTCGCCTGCTGTCGTCGCCCTCGCCCCCGTACCCCGCGTCCTCGTCCTCGCCCACTGCCGTGGTCATCGCCCCCCGTCGTCGTTCTCGCCCTACTTCTCGTCCTCATTGTCTTCTTCCTCGCCCTCGCCGCCGATCGATCGACGACGAGGACGTCGGCCACACGCAAGAGTGACCCTGAATATGCGAGAGTGGCCCCTTGTGCGCTGCTTTACGGGGCTGCGGGAGAGCCGAACCAGAGCGCGCACAAGCCAGTGCTGGGGGACCCTCTGTGTCGGATGCTGCTAGAAGTGCCCCTTGCCAAAGGAACCGCCAGGACTTCCAAGGAGGCCCCCCACGGCCTCCAGAGCACCCGTCACGAGGCCCAGAGGTCGAGTAGAGGATCGACTACAGAATCTTGCCCCAAATTGATTTTCTCGCCGAGCCCATGAGACAAATGAATAAAATAGTCAGTAGATCTACGGAGCATTGTAGGCATGCTTCGTAGATTCGACGGGAAATAATGTTTGGGTGACATCGATTCTGTAGTCGATCCCCTAGTCGAAGAGTGCCCCACGGGCTCCAACATGGAGCGAAAAGCCGGGGAGCATCTTGGGCCAGCGGCACCTTTGGCAACCCCCGACCGTTGGCCCGCACGGCGCTGCACCAGTGATGCATCGGCGGTGCGTCGGCGTGGAGAAACTCGGGCTCCACATCGAGCCGCATCGCCGATGCATTGCCGACGCGGTGCGATCTCAGAGGCGACGATAGGGGCGAACAGCCCAGGGCAGAGAGCAACACATGCAACTCCAAAGCCGCCGAGGATCCATGCCTTCGGCGAGGCTCCCCGGGCGACTACGTGTCGTGCCCGCCCTGGGCTTTTCGCCCTTCTCGTCGCCGCCGATGATGCTCCGACCCCATCTCCCAGACCCCCGACGTTATGACTTTTCCATTACGTCGACCCCCCGAGGTCCCGACCCATTCCCTGGGACCGGTTTCTCGTCCTGAGTCGTTTCTTGACGGTCCCGAGGCCCGGTGAGGGCCTCCAGAGGCCGAAAACATGGAAAAACCTCCCGTCATGATTTTTTCATCACCCAAGAAGGTCTGGGCTGGGAGGCATGAAGCACCCAAAGGTCACTCTGGCGTTAGGTCGGGCCTGCCCCCCTACAAGGATATTTTTGGACGACAAATAAAAAATAGTAACAAAAATATGCAACCGTGCTCAAAAGGGTCAAAAAATCGTCCCCAGGCTATCTTTTTGACCATTCTTGAATGCAGTCGGACTCGATTGGACAGGACACGCGAGAGGACACAAGACCCTTCTGAGGGCCACATTGCCACATGAATGTAGGAAGCATGGGTCGCGAGACACAGGACGCAAGGGTACCCTTGATTTGGCAGGGTCGACCTACTAATCTGGGCCGACTGTATTCCCCCTGTAGAGGGACAGGCCGACGTAACTCTGGCGACGGGCCGCTCCTGCGCGTGGCCGGGCGACGAACGGGGCGGCCGCTTCCTCCGGCACGCTGCGAGCGCCGGCGCCGCACGCGATGCTGCAGGCCCCGCGCTCCGGCGCCTCCCGGCACGCGGCCTCTCGAGGTGTGCGTTGGGTCGGGCGCGTCCTCCTACAGGCGGAGTTCGGAGGACAAACAAAATATAGTCCAAAAATGCTCCACCTCCTCCTCCTCCTCCTCCTCCTCCCTCCTCCTCCTCCTCCTCCTTCTCCTCCTCCTCCTCCTCCTCCTCCTCTTCCTCCTCCTCCTCCCCCTCCTCCTCGCCTCCTCCTCCTCCTCCTCCTCCTCCTCCTCCTCTTCCACGGCCTCCTTCTCCGCCCACTTCGTCGCCGACGTCGTGGTCCTCTTCAGGGTCGGCGGCACCGGCCGTCTGGCCTTCGCAATACAACATAGCCCAAAAATGCTCAGAAATAGTCAAGAATAAGGAAAGAATAGTCCCCACATGATTTTTTTACTATCTTTGAGCATTCCTCCCGTAGAGGGACATGCCCGACTTGAGGTGTGACGGGCCCGCTTCGTTATCGGCGGCTCAAAGAGGGGGTCCTGAGGAAGGGTGCCCTGGCCCAGGCCCCCTCGCGTCGGGCGATGGCTCCATGGAGCTCCTAAGACAGCTTGCCAGGGCATCGCTTCTGGATGAGAGCGGATGCCCTGCTGCATGGGCACTGCCTCCAACGCGGTCCGAGACACCCCCCCAAAGGTAAGGGTGGTGCGAGCGATGCTCCCAGACGGTCCACGGTGGCCATCGCGGCATGGGAGCATGTGTTCAATCATTCAGCATCTGTACCCGCCCATCCCTGCGACCCCACCTCGCCTCCAAGACGTCTGGGATACCTCCTAGAAGCAAGAACGGCACGATCGAAATTCCGAGAATGTCCAATACGGCCGCCGTGGCACGGGAGCATTTCTGAAGTTATTCAGAATCCAGTCGGACCTAGGCCAGAAGAACGTCCCTCAAGAACACGAGACCCTCCGCGGGCCAAACCGCACAGAATATCCAAGGGTGCCCTCTCCAGGGTTCACAAGAGCATCCAGCAATACACGAAGAACACTAGGGTACCTCCCCGAGCCGACCTCGAGCTTATACCTTGGTCCGACTGTATGATGCCGCTCCTTTCTGCGCCCCCGCCGCGTCTCCGATTCGTCTGAGGCCCTCCATCAGGAAGGAAGTGAAGGGGCCCTGGGACACACAAATAAATACATACAAATAGCAGGATTCCCAATATTTTCAATATTTTCTGGGTTTTTGTCTTCTCCCCCACTTTCCATATTTTTCCATATTTCCCTGGGAATCGACGAGTAATTGTGTCTGTGTGTTTTTCCCCCTCCTGAGGAAGGGCGGCAGGAGCGACGCGCCGGCGCGGTCTAGCATTAACCGCCGCGACATGGGCACACTTGTTATGGCAGGTTCGTGTCGCGCCGACCCTGGCGCTGGTATCTGACACCGCAGGGATCGTTCAACCTTGAACGATCGGCCGTTTCCGAAACGTCAGATCACTCAACATCGGCCGATCCCAGGTCGCTGGCGGCGTTCAAGGTTAAATGACGGCGGCGAGGTCGCCGCTGGTCGACACGATGCGAACCTCACGTGAATGTCTCAACATCTGTTCCCGCTCCTTTCTGCGCCCCCGCCACGCTTCCCGCGCGGCTGTTCAAATGCGTGCTCAGTCACTCCCTTGATCATGGTAACACGCTGGGGTATCATTTATGGATGTGTTCGGTTCTCCAGCGATCCCTCTGGGCTGCTGCTCCACGGCATGCTACTAACTTTCCCTGATCAGGACAACCCGCCTGGCGATCGTGTCTGGATGAGCCAGTGGGGATGTGCGAAGCATCACACACTTTGTCTCTTGCCCTGACTCTTCTCTTCCTCCCTGCTCCCCTCCCTCCCTCCTGCTCCCTCCCCATCTCCCTCCTCCCTCCTTCCTGCTCCCCCCTTCTCCTCTGCTTCCCTCTCCATCTCTTCCTCCTGAAGGGTAGCATCTCGCTGGGGCCTCGAATGCATCCCACCACGCGGCGTCCATGTGCGACCTGATCGGGGGAACGCGAACAAGAGCTGAGGCAGGACGTGGCGGAGCAGGATGAAAAAGAACAGTGGGCAAGGGGGAGGAGGAGAAGGGGAAGGAATGATACAGAACGAACGAACGAGCAATCATCGGCCCCTGCTGAACCGTCTACTAACAGCCCTCGCTGCGCTAGACTGCTTGCCCCAGGCTCTGGCTGACATGATCTAGATCATGCGCCACTTCACGTCGAGGGCCTGCTGCCGCCTACCAGTGACCTGGACAACAGCGATAGGAAGGACGACGTGGAGATAAATGTGCCACACGTCGGAACTCTCGACCGGACTCGTTCGCCGAAAATCAGAACCCAAGCGCGCGGACCACTCCTGCAGGTGCGACACCTGTGAAAGGGGCCCACAAACACACAAATAAATACACACACGTAAAACGATTCCCTACATTTTCCTATATTTTCTGGGTTTCTGTCTTCCCCCCCACTTCCCATATCTTCGCATATTTTCTGGGAGTCGACGAATAATTGTGTCTGTGTGCTTTTTTTAGGACGAGAAAAATCTATTGACACAACGTGCTGTTGATATGTTCCGGAAATTCTGGGATTTCTAACATTCTTCGCGTGGGGTGCACTTTGCGTCGAATATTGTCTACTCTGGCTGGCGCCGCAAGTCGGTCACCCATTCGCAATCGAGTCGTCGTCCGTAAAGGGCTGTTCGGCAGTTGCTGACCCCCCTTGTCGTTGCCGGGCGCGGGGGGGGCGGTGGCGTACCGTCCCATCGCCCGCCGCCGCGCACCGCGCGCCTCGGCGGATCCCCAAAGACCTGGCAAGGCAAAGCATGCGCGACTCTGGAAAATTCTCCAGGGGTAAACTTGGACAAATTTGGGAACATGTTTAAACGTGTCCGGCCTACTTTTTGAAAAATACCAAAATCGTTTTTGAAAATTTCCGGGCTCGATTTTGAAAAATTCCGAAATCCATTTTGAAAAGTTCCGAATTCCAGAATTATTCAGATGTCCTGCGCGGCGGGCGCATTCCACCCCTCATTTTTTTTTTTTTGTTTTTTTTTTTTTTTTGTTGGAGATTTCCGGGCTTCTTTTTGAAAAATTCCGGAACCGCTTGCGCGAACGAAAAGCGGAAGCGTTTTCTGACACATTCTACAATCCAGAAATAATGTCCGGGCGGTCCGACGGGTGCGGCCGGCTGATTCACGCGCCGCGCCGCGCGCGATTGGGCGCAGCGCGCGCCGCGCGTTGCGCCCGCGAGCAACACTCGAAGGGGCCACCTTGAAAACAGCGCCACGGCAGCTGCGACTCGCGGGCTCCCCAAGAGCAACACAGCATGCGGCTTGGAATCTTCGAGGGCGCTCCGATGCGCGAAAAATGCACCGCGAACATCACGCAGAGAACCTGCGCGACGGAATGCGCTCGACCGTTCGTCCCTGGAGCCCGCACGGAAGAACAAGAAAACCTGGAAATCTGGAAAACTATCAATTTATCAATACTTCATGCTCCTCTGATTTTTCCCTCCTGAACCTGGAGGGCGCGCGGCACCCCCTCGCGAGCGGGCTGGTCTGGCAGCACGTGCGCCCCGCGCGGACTGAGGCGCTCCACACGAGACCAGCAATGACAAGCGCACGCCGTCCCCCCCACGAGCAGCCGCGCCAAACTGGGACGCGCCATGAGGAAAGGGCTTCGCCTCCACATCCTCGGGGATCTTCTGACCCGGGTCAGTCCAAACCCGGGTCAGCAGGAAAGCAACAACTGCAATGCAGGAAAAAAAACTGCAACGCAGGTCTTCGCAAACCCAGGTCAGCCAATATGTGCGGCCGCCTCGCGGCCACGAGCGGCTCGCTAACCCGGGTCAGCCGGAGGAGGTCTTCGCAGGATCCTGCAGGATCCGGTGCCGTGGCTGACCCCCGTTTGCATTGACCCCCGTCTCAAGGCTCCCGACATCCTCCCCCTGCACCCTTCTTGGCGTCTCTCCATCACCGTGTCGCTGTGGAAGCGGAGTGCGGTCGAGATACTACCTCTTGGGTGCGCCATAGAGAGCCAAGCCCATGTTGGGTACCAGAATCGCCTGGGTGCACGACGAGCGCGACAGTAACAACCATGGAAAGACTGGAGGAACAACGAGCCCTTTCCGAACCCGAGCTGCTTCTTGTTCCAATGTCTTGACCGCAACGATCCAGAGAGATCGACTCCGCACGATGATGATCCATGCATCGAGTGCAGCGACCACTTTGCCTCCCGCAGGGTGTGAGAACAAGATCTCCGGACTATCTAACCACATGCCGCACTGGCGGGAGCAGGCCTGGTAGCGCGCAGTAGGTGGGGGTCAGGGGGGCTGAAGCGAACGACGGAGTCGTGCGCGCTTCTCCGCGGAGGATCATCCAAGGACGCCCTGGGACGCAAAGGGAAGATTGGCGGCGAGCGATGGGGGGGGGAATGAGAAGGAGAAAAGGCCTTATCGGAAGGCGGCGGGCATTCCCGGAAGACCTCGCGCACTCTTAGACATGCTCTACATCTTTGGGGAACGCTCAGGAAGCTGCTCAGAGGGCCGGGAGACTCAGGAACCTTCTGAGAAGGCCCGCTCCTTCTCGCTTCCCCCCCTGCTCGCCGCCGAGACGAGAAGCAAGAGGGGTGAAACCGATCGGGCGAGACGAACGGGGCACAGCTGGGCCACCACGCGATCAGCCCCCCCGCTCCACCGCCCGCGGCCGCTTCCTCCTCCCCCTCTCGTGCTGCCGGGCAAGGCGATGCCGTCTCCCGGCTTGCCCGAGCGCGCGCGAACTACCTCCTCCTCCTCCTCCTCCTCCTCCTGCCGCGCTGCGACTCTCCTCCTCCTCCTCCTCCTCCTCCTCCTCCTCCTCCTCCGCCTCCTCCTCCTCCTCCTCCTCCTCCTCTGGGACGGCCCGCCCGTGCCCCTTCGGTGGTGAGGCCGCCCTTCGGAGGAACAGAATCCGCATGCTCCACGGGGAGGGAGCGTGCTTTCTCGAGGCCGCCGCCCCTTGCCTGCCCAGACGACCGCCCGCCGCCCCCCCCACCGCCTCGGACGCTGGGCGAGGGCTGCTAAAACCGTGGCTGCTAAAACGGCCCTCCCGGAAAGAAAAAAGAACTTCCCGGAATGAGGCGCGGCACGCGAAACAGTCAACGAGCTTCTTCCCGGAAGGACGACGGCAACTTCCCGGAGGTTGATTTTGGCAGCCACGGATTTAGCAGCCCTTGCCCGGCTTCCGACCGCCCCTGGTCTGCGCGCCGCCGACAGGGGAGAGGGGAGACGAGGCAAGACGAAGCCATGGGACGAGGATCAAATCGGGTGAGGATGTATTTTTTTTTCACCTCCACGGCTTCACCACATCGGCCAAACAGGCGACTCCTCACAGCATCTGTGGGAAATGCTCTAAGCAAAGTGCACCGAGCAGCAAGTGCAACAAATTGGGCGACCTCGCCTCGGCGAGCGCCGCTTCGGGGAGGGGGCTTCGCGGGTTCCTGTGGGGAGGGGGCTTCGGGGTGAGGATGCATCGAGAGCCTCTGGGACCTGGCGGCCCTGGAGGATGTCTCGAGCGCCGCCTCACAGCGTTCCGGAACGCTCTGCGAGCCTCCCGGCGGCGGCCGCCGGGGAGGCGACGAGGTGCACCAGAACGCGGACCGTCGTGCTCCAAGGGGGCAGGGGCTGCCCCCGTCCTTGCCGGGCGTTCGTTCGACGGCGGGGGGGGGGAACAAACGGGGGCGCAGATACGGACCGCCCCAAGCATCCCCCCCAAGAGGAGACGAAGAAAGGGGACCGGAAGAAGCGAGGTGGCGGAGCGTCCCCTGATCGCAAGCACTGGCCGGAGGCCATTGCGATAAACGACGGGCGAAGCAACGTCTGGCCATCGCTCGGACGTTCATTCCTTGTGCTTGTGTTTTTTTCGGTTTCGTTTTTTTTTTTTTTTTTTTTTTTTTTGTTCCCCTAAAGGATGCTCCTCGATGGTCCCCGCCGAAGGAAAAATGCACACGTCCGAGCTATGCCAAGACGTACGCACGCTTTCCCCGCGCCGTCGGGGCCGGCGGCGGCAGCTCGGCGGTCGTCCCTCGGGGCCACTCTCCTGCAGTCCTCGATATCCCCCTCCTCTGTTGTCGGCCCCCCGTTGCCGCGCGCCCGAGGGGGGGGGAACTATCGGGGGGGGGCCTCCTCCTCCTCCTCCTCCTCCTCCTCCTCCTCCTCCTCAGGCTCCTCCTCCGCCTCCGCCTCCGCCTCCGCCTCCTCCTCCTCCACCAGCTCAGGTGGAGAAACATCGAGCTTGAATCGGCGATGCATCACCGATCGATCGGCGATAGGCCCACGACAGCGAAACTGCACCTTCTTGGGCAAGGTGGGCTGGCGGGCGCCTAGCGACGGTTAGGGGGTCCATGCTCAAATACACCCCAAGCCTATCTCCCCCTGGCGCTGCCCCTGACTATGTTGGCCCCTTGGCGCCGAGCGCCCGTTCTCGTGGAGGCCTCTCAAACTGTGTCGGGGTGGACGAGGCCGGGGGATCGCAACGCATCGTTGATGCATCCATTTCCAATGCACCGGCCACGTCAGCGTTGAGAATATCGGGCCCCGCCTCGAGCCGCATCGCCGAGGCATCGGCAACGAGGCGCTATCCTCCGACACCGAGCGCCCCGTTTTTTCTCGGCGGCGCGCCCAAGGGCCTCAACAGGCCCTTGGGCGCGCCGCCGAGAAAAGGAGGAGGAGGATGAGGAGGATGATGATGATGATGATGGGAGGAGAGGAGGAAGGAGAAGGAGGAGGAGAGGAGGAAGAGGAGGGGGAGGAGGAGGAGGAGGAGAGGAGGAGGAGGAGGAGGAGGAGGAGGAGGAGGAGGAGGAGGAGGAGGAGGAGGAGGGAGGAGGGAGTAGGAGGAGGAGGAGGGGGAGGAGAAGAAGGAGGTGGAGGTGGAGGAGGAGGAGGAGGCAAGGCAAGGCAAGGCAGGCGCTAGGGCGTCAAAGCTCCTCTCAACTAGATCGCTTGTGAGACCCCTGCGGGAA